AGACCAAAACAGACCTGCTGCCCTGGGGAGCCAGGTCCCGGGGACCAGGGAGGAAGCATCACAGTGTGAACACCTGGTACCCCCGCTCCTTCCAGAGTGAGGTCTGCACTGACTGGCCTCTCTCTCTGGGCTGGGAGCTGCCAGCAGGCGTGGGTTGGTGTGAATACCTCAAAGCAGGCGTATTCTGCATGGAAATGAGCCAGGAAGTAGGAGCACGTGCAGACGTGTTCATTAGTTGGCACCGGAATCCTGGTTGAGGGTGCCCCTGAGAGCCGTGTCCCCAGGCCCGCTTCTGCTCCTTCTGTACCAGCTCAGCCGTCACTTAACTGCCTCCAGTGGTTGGAGTTCTCACCCTCCCGGCCTCAGCCCCTCTGGCTTCTCTCCTCTGTGGCCCCAATGCCCTGTGTCCCCGGGTCCCCTCCTCTCCGAGCTCTAGAGACTGGTGATGGACTCATCTCATGGCTCGTCAAATACCGACTCAGTGGGTGGTGGGTGGGAGTTCCTGTTACCCTGAAGACCATGCCTTCCCTCCTCTCGTCCTGATGTTGCTAACTGTGTAGGGCACGTTTTGCTGGACTGCGTTTCCTAGTATCATGGCAGTAATTAATTGAACCACGACACTGGCACTGCGCTGGAAAAGCGAAAGTCATGTTGTCCTGTGTCCTGGAGGCTGGAGAAGAGAGGAGAGCAGTCAGCTCCTGGGTCCTTTCTGGTCTTGAGGAAGAACAAGGAGCCAGGACCACTGGCCTCCCTCTGCTGAGAGCGTTTCCTCCCTAGAGAGGCACCCGTGCCATGGCTGCTGGTGCAGCAGGAGGCCCCTGTCAAGCACAGAGTCAAGTTTCAAGTACGGATCAGTATGGGCCACCCACCTTTATTAACTTCTTTTTTTGAAATTGTAATGAATTTTAAGTACTACTAAAGTTGGACAGTTGATGAGTCGAAAGTATTGACAAAACTAGACTTTTTACTTCAGTGAAAATTTAATGTAACTTTCGTTCTATTTTGTTTGTTTATTCTTTTTATTTGTCCAGTTGTGTATCTCTAGTAACCTGGGCATGTGTTAACACAGACCACCTGTACGCGTAATAAGAACAGCCCAGTTCAGGTCAACAGCCCAGTTCAGGTGGGCTGAAGCAAGGAAGACCCAAAGCCTGACCCCATAGCCACCATTCTCAGAAGATGTACGGTGAAACTGTGTCACGGGGAGGGTGACAGAGGATAAAGCCACAAGAGGAGGATGGGTGGTCCTTCCCAGAGGAGGGCTGAGCAGGTGGGGAAGCCTTACCTGGAGATGGGCATGGGTGGGCCCTGAGCTTTGGGTAGGCAGGGCAGAGTGTGGCAAGAAGAACGCAGGCATGCAGAAGGGAGCCCGGCGGGGCTGGACCAGAATGGCAAATGAGAAGTCTGGAGGTGCTGGTGCCACTGCCATCGGTCTCTGGTCTCACATGTGCCCTTTGGAGTGCACACTGGGGGAGATGCCCAAAGCCAGGCTGTTTCTGGAGCTACTGGTCTCTCTTCGAACTAAATTCCTGGATAGATTTCACCTCCAAGCCCTTCAGGACCCTACGTGAACCAGCAGGTACCGACCCAGGCCTGACCTTGCAGCGGGATTAGCTTGTGGCCAGGCACAGTCCCAGCCCGTCCCATCGCCAAGTCAGGAGGGGTACTGGCCATGACCCACGAGTGCGCCAGGTTAAACATGCAGGTGCTCCACTCGCCGTGCTTAGTGCCCTTGTCTCAGGTGGCTTCTGAGCATCTTACCCCACGGCTGCTGCAGCGGCGTCTTGGAATTGGCCCTCGAGCTGGGCAGCTGCATGCTAGGCTCTTGTTAGGAACGCAGAAGGGGAGAAGGCTGCCAGAAGACTTGCAGCCGCCTCTGCACAGAGACCGATCAGAAACGTGAGGAGCCGGGAGGAGTGCTGTTTGGTTTTCTGAGTCTCAAGCTTGACTATTTAAGTCGAGCCTTAAATTTTGACAAGGCCCCAACTCTGAGAAAGGTGTAAAGGTTAGGACTTCTGAAACCAAACAGAACATCCTCGCTTCACTGTGTCCTTGGCAAAGCAGAGCCAGTATGCAAGGACAGGTGTGGGGAGCAAGGTGGAGGGAGTCCGGGTGCTGTGCATGGGTCCCGGCAGAAAGCCTCTAGCCAGACTCAGGAAGCACGATTTGTCACCCAGCTCACATGTGAAAAGCCTCCACCCCCTGCAGGACCAGAAAGGCCCCGCTTCTCCATGCTGCCGTGCTGTCCCCTGTGCACTGGAAACCTCACAGCCAACAAGACGACTCCTTGTTAATGAAAAGGTGGTTTACCTGGGGAAAAGGAAATTATCCTAGAATTCGTGAGCACGTATGTGACACCCCCCCCCCGGGGGGAGCTTCAGGAGGCCTTGGTGTGGGCAGCAAGCAGCTCCCAAGAGAAGTGCAGAGTAAGGACCGTTCAGGCACTGCTGCCTGTTCAGCCACTGCCAAGAGCGCCAGGTCCTGCATGCTGGACGACGTCTGGAATGTTCTGAAAAGTCAAAGAGCAGTGAAGAGACCTCAGGACTTGGAACTGGTTGGTCTCACTGGTGATCCTCAGCCAGTCCCCTCTCCCCTCGGTTTCCACCCCCAGAACGGGGAGAGGTTCACCGCAGTGAAGGAGGGGCTGGGGCAGTCCTGTCCCGCAGCCCCGGCAGTCTCCCACCAACCGGGACACACACAGGCATTTTTTTAAACAGTCAAAGAAAAAAAAAGGAATTTGTTTTGGCTTATGTAAGTAATAAATGTTCACTGTAGAAAACGTGGGAAATAAAGGATAAAGAAGGAAATCACTTGGTACCCCACCGCCCACCACCAGCTCCTGTTCTGCGGGCCTTCCCCACACGCGTGCGGTGCGGGGCCTGCAGGGTACAGGCGGTTTCACCAGCTGCTCTCGCGCTTGGGTTTTTTCTCAGCAGGTTGCCATCTCACGGAGTTCCTGCTGCTGTGGATGCCTGCAGGGCGCCCCTTCAGGGAGCGGTCCTGGTTTTGACCAGCCCTTTATTGTTGGCCACCCTGACCAGTCCTCCCCAGTTCTGAGTAAATAATGAAGCAACTCTTCATTATTTCTGTGGGGCAGCCATTCTCAGGCTGGGGACGATTTGGGCCCCCAGGGGACAGTACTGTCTGGAGACATTGTTTCCCCACTGTCCCAGGCAGGACGGGTGATACCTCTGGCATCTAGAGGTTGGAGGCTAGGAGTCCTGCTGAGTGCCCCACAGTGCCTGGGGACCCCCATCACGTGCGGGTGCCGGGTGCTGCGGGCCACGGCTGCTGCGTCCGATGCTGTCGCCACTGCTGACTGGTGCCCTCTGCCCAAGACCGTGAGTGAGGAACAAAGGCACGTTGGCGTGGAGGAGGGTGTTTCTTGGGCCTCCCACGTTTGACCATGATTTTAAGGAGGATGGAAATCACTGCTGAAAGGTCTCTGGAATCGAAGGGGAGGGAGCTTGGAGGGAGTTACATCGAAGGGGTGCCCCCGGCGTGTGGAGTAAGCGGTCTTGTCCAAAAGGAATGAATGTGACTTACATTGTGCAGGAAGTAGAGCCAGTAAATAAGCAAGAAAGAGAAGTAAAAACCGAGGCAAGGGGGAAACGATGGTGGGAAACAGGTGGCGAAGGAGAGCAGCGGTGGCCGAGGAGAGTCCTCTCCCCCAGGGCCCAGGGAGCAGTGCCCGCCCTGCCCTCTTGACCAGCTTCCCAAGGACCCAGGTGCTGTGTGTGCTCCGCCCCAGCTGCAGGCAGAGGGCAAGAGGGTGAGGCTCAGGCTCCAAGGGAGTTGACTTCACTGCCTTGTCAAACCCTGCCCACTTGGCCTTCCTGGATGAGAGAGGCCTGCAAGGGGCAGTTGGGGTTTCAGCTCATAGGTGGTTCAGGGAGCGCCCCATTCTGACAGTCCAGATGGTGAAAGGAGGGTATTGAAACACTTCCTCAGGACATGATTTGCTCGTCTGACCAGGCCCCTCAGGCACCTGTGCCCACCTTAAGGTGGTGTGGGCACAGTCACCTGTTCGTGGGCAGCTCCAGGACTAGCCAGGAGCCTTCCCATTGCTCCTGCTCTCTCGGGCAGTGCCAGCACAGGACAGAGGCAGCCCTGGCCAGCAGGTGGCAGCACGGGCCATCCGCAGAGCTGAGGAGCTGGAGGACACGCCCAGGGCCCCTGGCTGTGTCCCACCTCGGCTCCCCAGGCCCTGGCTGGAAGTGGGACCCTTGAATGAGAGACCAGTTGGGGACCACAGCACCTGGGAAGTGGCTAGGAAGCAGACCTAGAGACCATGATGCCCTGAACAGCCCCAACCTCCTTCCTGCTCGGGGACCCTGTGGTGGGGACCCGCCATGGAAGGCCCAGGGACTAGGGCACCTGAGGGTCCTGGAGAGGAGGCTGTGAGAAGGGGGCAGTAAAGGGGCACCGGGGCTCCATGGAAGGGGCTGGAGGGCAAGGCCTGGGGCCAGCAAGGGGTCAGTTCAGCCTGAGTGGAGGCTGGAAGGGAAGTGGAGGAGAGAGATTATTTAGGAGACAGAGTGGGTGTTGGTGTTGGGGAGGCGGCAGGGAGAAGCTGCCAGGAAGAGGAGGAACAGGGTTCTGGGGGTGGAAGACTGGAAAGGTACCAAGTTTCTGGGCTCCAGCCCCCCACCCCCCAGCAACATCTCCCCCATGCCACAGGGTGGGGCTGAACCAAGGCCTTGGCCCCAGCCCCACTCCAAATGTCCCTTAGATGCTCAGGCTGGGGCTCCACCAGCCTGGGGCTCCTCCCTCTCTTTGCCCCTCCCCAACCAGCCCGCTCCAGGCCTGTAGAGAAGCCAAGTAGACAGGATGGCAGAGAGGTTCATGGAATAGGATTGGGGGGTACAGCAAGGTGACTGCCTCCCAACTACTTTCCCATCTTACAGTGAAGCAGAAAGGGCAGACCCAAGGATCAGGTCCCAAAGCCCAGTTCCTGGGCCCCAGGCTGCCCCCAAAAAGAGGAGGCACCACTCACAGACCTGGGGCAGGCCGAAAACCCTAGTTTATTTCAGCATCAGCAATATCTTAGCCATCACAAAAATAAACTCTACCAAGGGCAGGAGGTCTCTACAGCGAGGCTAAGGGCTCAGCTGCCAATCAGCGAGCCTCAGGGGTGCATGGTGGGCACTGCCTGGGCAATAAGTTAGGAAGCAGTGGGGCTAGCAGTGGCGTAGGTGCAGGCAGGCTTCACTTCTGGGCAGGCACAAGGTCATCGATGGCCTGGCCCTGCTCCAGCCGCCGCTCCATCTCAATGAGCAACTTCACACCGTCCACCACCATCTGCACCAGCTCTACCTCTGAGAAGCCCAGGCGGTCTGCGTTGGAGACGTCAAAGACACCACCCACGGCGGCCGTGTCCACGCCGCCTAGGGAGACAGCTAGGTCAGCAGGGCTGGGTTGGGGGCTGCCTGCGGGAGAGCGCTGCCTGCAGGCCCCACGCCACTCACCGGTGCCTCGCTTCTGAAGCCGCAGCCGCTTGAGCACCTCCGCAAACTTCTCGTGCTTGCCCAGGTGGGGCAACTTGATGTGCACACCTGCCCGCAGCCCTGTGCCCAGGTTGGACGGGCAGGTAAGGATGTAGCCCAGGTGAGGGTTCCACATGAACTCGTAGTTCTTAGACTTGAAGAGCGTTTCAATCTGGAAGTGGAGAAGGTGTGAGGGGAGGCCTGGCTGAGATTCCCCCCTCCCCAGGGGTCGTCGGTCTGGACCCCAGAGCCCCCTTGCAGGACTCCTGATGTGATTGAGACCTGGGCTCCCCAAGGAGGCTGCCTGAACCCTGGGGCCTGACCTGGGCGAGGCCACTGCAGAAGCGGGTGAACACCTCCTTCATGTTGCCCCCCTTCTGCATGGAAATGACCCGTAGGTGGTCCTCCTCGTTGATCCACACCAGGAAGGTCTTGTTGTCATTGTGCCTGGGGGAGGGGCGCAGTCAAGCCTCCTCCCTGGACCACGGTCTCGGGCTACATCCGGGAAACTCTTAGCAGGTCCTGACGCACTCCTCTAGACCCCTAGGTGCTCAATCCAGCTGTACCCAAGAACAGGGGCTGCTGCCAGGACCCCAGCCCCATCAACACCCTGGGGGCAGGCAAGGAGGCCAGGACACCTCAGGGAGGGGACCAAAAGAGGCCTGAGCTGCTTTCCAGCTTGGCCGGCAGGTACTGTGTGGCCCAGGTAGGTGGAGAGTAGGAGCAGGAGTTAAGGGGCAGAGGCAGTCAGGACAGCACCCCAGAGGGATGTGCCTGCTGTATCTGGCCGGGAGCCTGCCCTGCACAGACAAGAGTGTGTGGGCCCTCCTCCCCCCCACTTAAAGCGTCTGCGTCACCTAGCACCTGGCAGAGTCCCCGTGGGGAAGCAAGTGAGGAGAGAAAACAAGATCCCAAGAGTCGGGGGGTGGAGGGTAAAAAGCCAACACAACTCGTTCCCCACCCACCTCTAAGATCCTGAGGCCGAGGCTTCTACCAGCCCGGGCCCCTTCACCTACCTGCGCGGTCGAGGTCACCTGCGAAGAGGCTTGGACGGCACCGAACCTATCCCGGCAGCGCGGCCCCTCCCTCTTCCTCCTCGGACTTCGGCAGGGAGGGAAGAGGGACCCGCGGGAGGGGGTTTGGGGAGTACGCACCAGATGCCACGGGCATCCGGCCAGTCGCGGGCCATGCCCGAGGCCAGCAGCAGGGGCGATACGGGCTTGTCAAAAAGGAAGTGGTCGTCGATGAGCTGCTGCTGTTCCGCCTCGGTCATGCTTTTGAGCGCATAGTATCTCCCCGCCAGGTCACCGTCCAGGCTCGACAGGGCTGCGGAGGGGCGCGCTCAGGACGACAAGCTGGTGGGCTCCTACCTCCACCCCCACCACCCCAGGCGACACGGATCCGCCCCACCTCCCCATGCCCGCCGAGCTTGGTAGGAGTGCAGTCCTGGCAGTCCGAGCGGGTTACCCGGACTCGGGCGGACCCTCGCCGGGCCCCAGGGCGCTGTAGGCGCAGGGCCGGGCCTCCGTCCCTCCGGGAAACCGGAGCCGGCACGGCGGCGGCAGCTCGGGTGACTGGTAAACAAGCCAGCGGGGACCCAGGCTGGGACCGGGATGGGGGGGCCCCGTCGAGCCTCACCCTTACCCTTCGTACGGCGAGCTTCTCGATGGCGCGGCGCTCCCCGCCGGCTGCAGTGCGGGGGGAGGGCAGAAGCCACGGATGCTGCGGCCCGTCGCGCAC